TTATGTTTTTTATAGAATCATATGAATGAACATGTTTGCAAATAGAAATGATTTTGGTCATTAATTTTTTTAAAACCTTTTTAAATCTTAATGTGCTTTGGGGCGTGACATTTTTTTTGAACATCGTGAAAGTATTAATATTTTCGCATTTTATGCGTAAAAACTCATCCATTTTTGGGCCAGGGAAATTTTTTTTTAAAAAGTCATATCCCTAATGTATATATAGATATATGCATGTATATGTATATATAGATATACATGTATGTATATATATACATATACAAATAAGTTTGAATGCATTCTGCAAAATAAAGTGCTCAATGTTCTATAATATATTTATAAAAGAAATTATTTATTTACTTACTTCTTGATTTCATTTTTATTTTACTTCTTAATTTCATTTTTTATTATTTTTTGTAATTTAAAATTAAATTTAATTACAATGTGATACTTTTGAATTTTAAATTTTAAATAAATTCTTGTAACAATGCCTATATATATATGTATATATATATATATATATATATATATATATATATATATATATATATATATATATATATATATATATATATATATATATATATATACAAATAAGTTTGAATGCCTTCTGCAAAATAAAGTGCTCAATGTTCTTAAAAAAACAGCAATAATCGATAAGTAGACCAAAATTTATTAAAATGTCAAGAGCAATTACCTTTGTCACGCCAACTCTGTTTAATGTACAATAGAACCTTTAAGTTACACCAGCTAACAAGTCAGCCATAGTTCAAGTTGATCAAAATTTGAAAGTTTTTAAGCTCAACTTAAAGGTTAGATATTTGTTTAATAAAGACTCAAAGAATTTTCCAGAGTTTTTAAAAATTGGAACAACCTGTGCCTTTTACCAACAAAACGAGATTCAGTTAATCACTTAATAGTTTAGAGTGAATCAAAGGGCGTTTCTAAAGAACACTTTTGTAAGCCTAATAACAAAAATGTTGTTTGGACCACCAAGCATAGAAGAGTATAATTAAGAAATGACTTGAGCAATAAAGCTAGAGTGATATGGATGTCTAACTATGGGTTAATCTGTTTTATTTATAAATGGCATTAAAAGTATGTCCATAAGATTCAAGAGTCAAATTAGAAGAAAAGTCCTTTGCAAATAGTTCTGCCTTATCCTCGGAAGAGGTAATAAGATTGGTCCCATGACTTAGAGATGGATTGTTAGCTCTACCTTTGTTAATAACACTGTTGAAGATTTTCCAAAAGTCTCTAGAGTCTTCTAAAGAATAAGACTATAGAGATATTTTAAAATAAAATAAACAATAAAGAACAAACCTAACTGTGATTGAGTAAAAAGCTGTTAATCAGAAACAAATAAAAGATTAGTCAGAGGATTCAACCCTGATTTCTTGACAAATAGGTGAGGTGATGCCTACGTACACACCCAAGCCAAGTGTGTGACAACATTTTTCTATGAAATTGCTTTTATAGAAATACTGGAAATTAAGGTGAATATTTTATAGAAATACTGATATAATTAAGTTGTAGTTTTTTTTTCTTACCAGAGAATTAATTAATTTTGCATAAAATGCTCTTCATAAAAATATATAAAAACAGTTATTGAAAAAATAAAAGTATATTAAATAAAATATTCATGCTATACACATAAAAAATCTGTGATGTAGTTATAGTAAAAGTAAAAAGTTTGTTAAGAGAACTTAACAAAGTAAAAGTAAAAAGTTTGTTAAGAGAACTTAACAAAGATAAACACTTTGAACATTTTTGAAATGCATTCAATATTTTTTAAACTTTTGTTTTGTGTTTACGTATTATTTCTTAATTAAGTTTTGAATTAATTATAAAAATTAATTATAAAAGTTATAAAATATTAATAAAGATTACCAATATTCATACATATACCAAATGATCTTTTTATATTATATGTATTATTTCTTAATTCATTTTTAATTAAGAAATAATAATAATATAATAGTTATAATAGTTTTGAATTAATTAAAATAATAGTTTTGAATTAATTAAAAGTATATTTAAACAATATTGTAAAGTTGTGAAAAAAAATTTTTTAAAGAAATGTTTTTTACTATTTTATTTGTAGATAAATTGTAGTGAACTAGCGCTTTTTATAACTCATTATTTATTCATTTTAAAATAAATTTAAAAAAAGTTTTCTATTTATTAGTATATAAAGATTTTATACTATTACTATATGAAAATTTTTATATTAGTTAATATTATAAAGATTACCAATACATACACCAATTAATCTATCTCTTAAAGATTTATTAAATGTAAATCTATTTCTTGAATTCTGTTTTGCATATTGAATATGTTTAGAAAATTGAAAATATTTTAATTTCTGCAACAAAATATGACTGTTACAAGAGTGCAGCTGACTCGTCCTGTTTATGGTATCGAATGTGAACTTATGACTCGCAAACTTCCAACTGTTAAGGAAATCATGCAGTACTATTCTTCTGTTAAATTAGAACTTCCTAGAACTACTAAGTCAAGCACACTAGTTTCTAGAGTTTCTGAAAATGTTATGAACATTTGGTTGAAATCTGGTATTCCAACTGTTAAAATGCAAAGGGTGCAGCAGAAAGTAGAATCTTTGCACAATAATTTGAGAATGATTCTTAAAAGAGAAAGTGAATCAAAGACTTCAACAGTATCAATTGCAAATTTGGAAAGTTTAGTTTTGTTTGACATTGCAGCATGTCATTGTCTTAATTTAAGTAATTGCACATGCCTTTATTAAAATAATTTATTAAATTTAAATTTAAAAAGTTGCAAAAAAAAAACCTGAGAATATTAAAAGTACCAGTACTCAAGGATGAATATTTAATGGGTCTAAGAAATATGCTCATTGATCTTTTAGATAATGAAAGTAGTTTTATGTTAACCAAAGCATTTGAAAGAAGCACAAAGAGACAAATACTATGATTTTTTTCAATGTTGATGAGAATTAGTTGTCAGATTTCTGTGAATTAGCTAGTGAATCTGGCAGAAATATGATAAAGTTTCTAACAGTTGCCATAGAATGTGACATATATGGTGTATCCCATGTTGCTGGAGCTGCGATTGCTACTGTCACACTTTCAGATTATGGAATTATAAAACAACATGACAGAAAAGATCATAGACCAAACCAAGTTAAGGCGTCAAAGATATTTGCTTAGAACTACATAATCACGCAAAGCAAAGTTAGCTATGTGTTCAGTAGGCCCAAAATCAATTTCTTTGATGAGAGAAAAGATAAAACTCTTTGTGCATTAGTGACTTACAGAAAAGACATAATCGCTAAGGAACATATCACATTCATAGAAGAACCTCATTCCATTATTCTTGTTCATATTTCTCCATCAAGGGCATCATCAACAAATATCAAGGATACTATTATAGATTTTTTTGATGAAAACAAAATATCACTTGGTAATGTGTTAGCTATTGGCGCTGATGAAGCTAACGTAAATACTGGTGTGAACAATGGTTTAATAAGATCACTTGAACTGCATTTGGGATATCCGTTTCAATAGTTAGTGTGTATGTTCCATTTTAATGAAATTAAAATTTAAAAAAAGTTTAATCTAGTAATGAGAACCACCAAAAATCCAAAGCTTCTCTAAAGTTACATGAACAAACAGTTAAAGATTCTATAAAAGCATTAAAGCAAGCAAATGATGAAATCTCTAAAAATTCAAAAGATATTGCTGATATCTTAAAAAAAAATTTTCAATCTTTATTTGTGAAAGAAGACGATGATCATGTTCTCCTGAGAATCAAGTTAATATCAAGTTAACTGATTTTGGTACTTCTCTTGAGTTAAGAACTACTAAAACATTTGACAATTGAAGATTTTAAATATGAAGATGTCCATCAAAGATTAAAAACTCGGAAGAAAACAAATCAGGTGGTGTTGATAATTTACATTCTGCTATTTTAAAGAGTTGTGCATCAGTCCTTAACATTCCACTTATATCATTCTTCTGTACAAAAAAAGTGAAAAAACCTTAGGAGGAAACTACCCACCGATATCACTCACATCAATTGTATGCAAAAAAATGGAAGGCTTAATTAGATATAAACTTGAAACTTTTCTGTATAAGTTCAAATTAATAGTCAAGCAACAGCACATTTTTGTTAAAAATAAATCATGCTCAAGAAATCTACTTTAAACACTTGGTTTTATTCCAACCACCTTAGAGAATGGTAATCCTGTTGATGTTTCTTTTTTTGTGCATCAACTCTTTCTTTGCAATCAGATTTCTGTTTCGCTTTTATGTGGACTCAAGACTGGCTGGTAAAGTTTAATATTTCGAAATGTATGGTCATGCACTTTGACCAGAATAACAAAAAATCACCCCTTTATATCAACAAACAAAAATTTAACAAAACAGAATCTGAAAGTGATCTTGAAGTAATCTTCTCAAGCAATCTAAATTGGAAAAATTATGTAATAAAATGCGTAGACAAGGCCAACCAAGTGCTGGGTCGGATTAGAAAATGCTTTGTTTGTTTAGATATTAGACTCCTGAGAATACTTTATGTTTCTTTTGTGCAAACACTATTAGAGTTTGCAATAGCAGTTTGGTCGCGTATTCGAAAAGGAGAAATTGATTTATTAGAAAGAGTCCAACATTGTGCAACTTGATTTATACCATCACACATATATATATATGTATTTGTGGGTATATATATATATATATATATATATATATATATATATATATTTATAGCACTCTGATAAATAGTATTCAATACTCACTCTGATAAATAGTATTCAATATTATCATTTATTTTTAATAATTGAATTATACCATTGTAGGTATATATATATATATATATATATATATATATATATATATATATATATATATATATATATATATATATATATATATATATATATATATATGTAGTTATTAAAGTGAAAATAATATATATATATGTAGTTATTAAAGTAAAAATATATGGATTGATTGATCATTTAGAGATATTGAATTCACCAGAAACAGCTAACAGATTTCCTGACAAGAAAGGTAGTTATAATATTTGGTTTATTTAAAATATCTTAACATTACTCAAAAAAGTATGAGAAAAACTGTCAGATTTTAGTTATTTCAGTGATTTATTTTTTGTTTCATTTTAGTGTTGTAAGTATTATACATCAAGTTTATTATTTTTTTTATGTTCTTTTAAATAAAGTTTTTCTTTTTTTATATAAAACTTAAGATTTAATTTAAATTGAACTTTTTAAAATATTTCTAATATTATGGGGGGAGGGGCGGTACTTAGGGAAATGACTTAATTGTCAGAAGAATGTTTCTATTAAAAATTAAATTTTTTTTTTAATTAAAGTTTTGGCTTGTAAATTTCGCTGAATAGCAACACATGAACAGTGAATGCCTGAGAATATGAAGTCCACTTCAATAAGGGAGAATTATTTTACGAACAAAGCATATTTAGACAGTTGTCAAGACAAAATTATTTATTTTTGTCTTGACAACTGTCTAAATATGCTTAAAATAAGGAAAGTTAAAATAATACTAATATGACAAAAGCAGGCAGACAAAGCACCCAAGCAATACTTACAAACATAAAAAAATACATAACTTCTTATAAAAAGTAAAAATGAATAAAGATATACAGCAATTATTGTTCACCAAACTAAAACAAATAAAACAAAAAAGTAATTGCAAAATAAAATACATAAGATATGACTACATTGTCTAACAGCTCTTTACACTGGTCTCTTACGAGACTGAGCCCAATCTAGGGCATTCCCTGGTGTCTTATGTAAGAGATTTTATATGCATTGGTGTCTAATCCATTGTAGGCTTTTTGATGTATGACTGGTGCCTCCCACATTTTTTCAAGTATATATTCACACTTTTAACTGGCCTCTGATTGGAATTTTCTTAACATAACACTCAGCAAGGACTTATATCATACCAATCTATCCATTTTCATTGCGCATATGGCAGATGTCTTGTTTATTCTCAAGACTAGCTACTTCTATTGTTGCTGTTGCCATTCATTAGTTCTATGTTTTTGAATTGTTAAATCTTGTCATATGGTCCAGGTTGCTATGACCATCCATTTTTAGGTCATTTACTTTGTTTTATGTTGCTTAGATTTGTATTTTGTTAATCTTGTTTTCGTTCTTATTGTAATTTTTTATACCATATGCTTGCACTATCCACTATTCTTTTATTTATCCACCAGCAAAACATCAAGGAATACAGGCTTATCGCATTAAGCAACAAATATACATTTAACTCTTCCAGAATGAAAGATATTTTGTATATTTTATTTTTTTTAGTTTCTATCTCACTAGTGCTATTTTGTCATAACATACCTATGGTCACATATTTTGTATCTTTAGTTTTATTTAGATTTATTGATTACAGCGCAAGATTTTTGTGATTCTATTATCCTATTCTTTAGGTTGATAGATCAATTTGTTATGCTTTCACACTGTTGAGTCTTCTTTTATGTTATTTTTATTTTCTTGGCAACTATATTGTTTTTAATCCAACATCTCTCAGCAAGCAATCCTAATTACATTCTGAGATATGTCTGATTTGTTCGCTGTTTAATAAATTTTATAGTTCTCTGTGAACAAAGTTACTACTTGTATTTAAACTAATTTTGGTGTTAATATTTGTTGTTCTCTGCAAACAGAGTTTGGTAGACAATATGGTATTAAATATAAAGCATAATTTTTATTATGTTATTTTTTCTTGTATTTATTTTTTTTATCATTGTTTCTTATTCTTCTATATTTTTTTCTTGCCACTTGTATTTTATCTGTTGTTATCATTGTTTTTTGTTTTTTACGTTGTTCTATTTTTTATATTGTACTATGTATTCTTTGTATATCACTGTTGGTGTGGCTGTTATCATTGCGTCTTATATATATTTAATGTATTTTCTTTATTTATTCCATTGTTATTTCCAAACAATAATGGTGTAGCACAAATTTAGGTTTGGGTGTTTGGCTTTTCTGTAGTGAGGTCTGTTTTTTTGCAATAATGACCTATATGATGTAGGCTACATTGTCACACATCATATGTGTGACAATGTATACATATGATGTAGGCTACATCATCAACAAATGCTTTAGCCTACAACTTATGCCTATTTTCATACTGCAGTAAAATGGACTCACTACTATTAGTCAAAACCCAACCACACCCAAGTTTGTAAAGCACTGATATTTTATTGATGAAATGATAAAAAGAGTGTAGATAACTGTGTAGATACACAATATAATCTTGTGTAGATACACAATATAATATATGTGTATAAAATAAGTATATAATATATGAGTAAAAGTAACAAAATCAAACAACTTACCACTAGAAAACATGCAATAACTACAACAATAAAATAACAATTCCAATAGCAACAAATTCTTTACGACTGGTACAAAATATTCAAACACAATAAATAATAATTCCAACAGTAGCACCAAAACTAAACCACTAAAATAAAGACACAAATAAAAAATAGTAATAAAGTTCCTCTTCAAACAATTTAAAACTTAAGTAGGTATTTTTACTATAAACAGACCCTAGGTAATAAAAAAACAATACACCAAACTTTTGAACCTAGATAAAAAGATGAAAAATGTATGTGTGAAATTAAGAATAAGCTGAGTTAGAATGTAAAATATAGCAAAAAAGTTCCTCAATGGTACTAGTAATATGAAAACCAGTGAATAAATACTGTAATAAGACCTGATAAATTTTAGCAAAATGGTAGTTCATAAGAAATTGTGTAATATCATAAAAATGTAATACAAAAATAATGGAAAAAATAGGAAAATCACAAAAAATTAACAAAGCGCCAATAAAAGACACAGACACCTCACTTTTTACTCACAGTAAAAAGTGAGGCTTTACTTTGAATTGTCGAGAGGGAATAAAAGATTCCATACCAGCCTGAATCAAAGAAGTTTTATAAGAAGCACATTTTTTAGCAGGAAGACAAAACATTTCTTTTCAAGGGCCATCATAAAAGAAAGTCTTTGAAGGAGTCCCAGTCAGCTTTAACATAGTTGTAGCAGGTCTGATGATGGGGGATTTTGATGTTATTAGAGAATGAGATAATAGCTTTAGAGAGATCAAACAATGATTAGAAGCACCAAAGGGTAAATGTGGAGAAACTAAGTACTGACTAGGATCAGAAACGAGATATAAGTTAAGAAGAGAAGATAAATGATTCGGATTTTCTTGAAAGTAAGTTGGGAAGTTGGCTTTTTGTGTTAGAAGTTAAAAAAGATAAAAGTTGTTAACGCCTTAATGTCTGCAGAGTCAATGACACTAAAGCCAAGCCATTCATTGTGATGAGGATTGATGTCACCAACAACATCAGTATTGGCTGAAGGATAAATAGGAAGAGCTTGGTCAATTTGATTTGAAATATTATTAAAATGAGTGCAATCTTGAGGTATGGAAGGTGAGGGATATAGAACAAATAGAATGGTGATAGTGTGAAGTGGTACTTAACAAAACTATATAATAGTCTGTGCATTAAAATCTAGTTTCTGACAAATGGGTGAATTTTTACAAATGAAATGCCCAGGCCGAGAATGTTACTATTGGAGTCTTTACAAATTAAAGGAAGATAACTATTTACATTTTGATCACAAGATGAGACAGATGATCTCAAAATAGTTTCACATAAAAATAGTAGGTCTTCTAAGTTTTTTCAAGAGATAAGACTCAACGGAAGAAAAGTTACTTTTAAGACCACAATTATTAGTGAATGATAGGTATCAGGAACTTAGAGATGACAATGTTTTTTTGTGTTTTATAGTTTTTGGTACTTCAGTCATTTTTGGAATTGTTAAAGAACATAACTTGAAGCACAGATTGTACTCAGTACACAATTTAATAGTCCAAGCAATTTCCTCATTACTAATAATAAACCCTAAGCCATAACAAAGGACTCCAAATTTGGCCTCAACAATGCACACCAAAAGGACGAATGGAAACACCATCCCTGTGCATCAACTTAGTTTCCCGACAAATGGGTGAATTCTTACGAATGTAAATCCCCAGGCCAAGCATGTGACTATTGGAGTCTTTACGAATTAAAGGAAGATAACCATCAACACAAAGATCACAAGATGAGACAGTCGAACTCAAATTAGTCTCACAAAGAGCAAGTAGGTCTGGTGAACTTTGCAGGAAATAAGACTCAACAGAAGAAAAGTTACTTCGAAGACCACGAATATTAGTGAATGATAGATTTAGAGACCTTGGTGATGACGACGGTTTTTTGTGTTTAATAGTTTTTGATATTTTAGTCATTTTTCAAATTGGTTAAGGAACTTGACTCAAAGCACAGATAATACTCAGTACACTATTTAATAGTCCAAACAAATGCCTCATTACTACTAATAAACCCTAAGCCGTAACAAAGGGCTCCAAATGTGGCCTCGACAATGCACACCAAAAGTACGAACAGGGACACCATCCATGCGCAACATGGCACTGTTAGTACTCTGATACTTTACTGCTGTTGATGGAATCAGCCTCTCTGAGAGCTACCACAGAGTTTGAAATCTGACTACAAGCCAGCCTCAGAACCATAAAACTGACTTTTGGAGCTGTGCCCTCATTAGGAAATAATAAAATGAGTTGCCTAATCATAAAAACACAAGACACAAGCAAACCCATGCATTGAGTCAAGAAGATCCAGCATTTATCATCCTAACGAGGAACAAATGTATTATCTACACCAGCCTAATAGGTGAAGTCGAGGTGCAAAGCTGGTCAACAAATAGAATCTGTTTACCTGTTAAGTCTTTGCCCAGGAGGACTTTTACAAAACCGTAGCTGGATGCATTTCATGTCTGTCCAAGATTATTAATTATTTTGTGACACCATCTCTAGCGTTTACTCAACCAAGAGTTTCAAAGCAGTTGGAGGATCACTTGGCCATACATGAAATCACTTTTTGAATCTCTTACTAAGGTTAATTTTTTGGCTCATTTTTCAGACAACCACTTTTCTTCAATTAAGGCCTGACATCTTTAGGATTTTTGCAGGACTTTTCAGACATAATATCAAATAAAAATGTTTGCCAAATATAATTACTTTAACTCTAAATAACAATTTAAAATAACTTTAATTTTAATAAGTGTCAGTCTAATACATTAAAATTAGTTTATAATATTTCCCAGAATTTTTTAGTTTAAATGAATTTTTATTTTCATGATTTTCTTTGTGATAATTTGTCTGTGTCTTTTATCAATCTGTTCAAATTTTTTTATTTCTCCTAATTTATCTTTTCAATCTAAACACCAGTTTATTCTTTTATCCTAAAGAAACAGGTTAATCCACTGTTAGACATTAAAATCACTTCTGTTTTCATTTTTAATGTTTTTTCTCTCTAAAACTCCTCAACAGCTTATGGTCTAGATAACATTCTTGATACAGCCATAATATATCATTCCTGATGCAGTCATAATATATCATTCCTGATGCAGTCATTATATATCATTCCTGATGCAGTCATAATACATCATTCCTGATGCAGTCATATTATATCATTCCTGATGCAGTCATTATATCATTCCTGATACAGCCATAATATATCATTCCTGATGCAATCATAATATATCATTCCTGATGTAGTCATTATATATCATTCCTGATGCAGTCATAATACATCGTTCCTAATACATAAGTGTTCTCCAGACCTCTCTTCATTACTCTCAAAACTATTATACTTTATCGAATATCGAATCCCATCGAATTCTCTTCCTAAAAATTGTGTATACAAAAAATGTTACACCAATTTCAAATTAATAATAAAAGTTATTTCCTTTTTATAAAATAAAGCTTTAAAGATAACTGCGTTGTAAACTACATAAGAAAGTAAACTGCAGTTAAGTATATTATACTCTAATTTATTACACTAAATTTTGATCCAATATACCTGCTGGCATATTGGATCAATGTTTTAGTTACCAAAAATTTTTTTGTTAACAAAAGGTTTAAAATAGCAGAATTTTTTGAATTGTTAATTAACAAACATCTAATATCTTAAATTAGGACTAATTGTTTACTTTCTAACAATTGGTATTGATTTTGATCTCTTTGTTCTATAGCTGATGTATTAACTATTATTACAGAAAAATTTTGTACATTAAATGCAAATCTTCTCCATTAACTTCGTATGGTGTATCTGAAAAAGTTTTTAAAAAACTTTTTAATCATTTCCATCTAACTGCAGTTTTACAGTTCTTAATGGATAACAGTCTCCTTTTATTTCCAGTAACTTATAGTTTATCCTACTATTTTTTTTGCTTTTGAAAAAACTATACATTCCATTTTTGATTGCTTAGAACAGGCAGCCTATTTTAAATGCCATCTCTCTTTTCTGTGATAACTTAAAGTTTGTAGTAACTAGTGAGTTTTAATCCAAACAAAACTCTTTTTTTTTTATTGCCAATAATTATTGCAGTGTTATTGATACTATTGATGTTGCAACACTCTAACGAAGTCCTCCACTTTGCCGTTCTTCAAATTATCATTAACTACTGGCCTCATGAAATCCGTTTATAAAAATGGGTGGCGCAAATGTTTTTAAACAAATCTGAATTTAATTATTTGAGCATATTATTTTGTTTTTTTTGGTAATTTGTTAGGCAAGTACTTATTATTTTAAAGATTCTATAAATTGGATGAACAAATATGTCAATTAAATTGATAAAGAATCCAAACCCTCCTCCCCTTCCCCCACATTTTTTTTTATATAAGACATAAGTGACTTTTATTAAAAGATAAATACTTAATTTAAAAAAAATAATAGATTTTTTTAAAATTTTATAAGATATTGATGTTTTTATTTTCTCCGATAACTTATGCATCACCTGTTATCTCTATAAATCTCTTATTTAATCGAGTCATTGCTTGCAGCCTTGTTAAGAGTGAATACATTTTTATAAAAAGTTTTTTTTTTCTTATAAAACAAGTTATAAAAATTTTTATGTATAAAAATTTTAAATGCCATCTCATTTCTGTGATAACTTAAAGTTTGTAGTAACTAGTGAATTTTAATCCAAACAAAACTCATTTTTTTTATTGCCAATAATTATTGCAGTGTTATTGATACTATTGATGTATGTGATGTTGCAACACTCTAACAATGTCCTCCACTTTGCAGTTTTTCAAATTATCATTCACTACTGGCCTCATGAAAACCGTTCATAAAATCCATTGCAAAGTTAACATCTGTTTAATTGCCTCTTTTTATAATTCTTTTACTCCTGATGTTTTTAAACAAATCTGAGTTTAATTATTTGAGCATATTATTCTGTTTTTTGGTGATTTGTTAGGCAAGTATTTATTATTTTAAAGATTCTATAGATTGGGTGGACAAATATGTCAATTACATTGATAAAGAATCCAAACCCTCCTCCCCTCCCCCTCATGTTTTTCATATAAGAAATAAGTGATTTTATTAAAAGATAAATACTTAATTTAAAAAAAATAATAGATTTTTTTAAAATTTTATAAGATATTGATGTTTTTATTTTCTCCGATAACTGATGCATCACCTGTTATCTCTATAAATCTCTTGTTTATTCTAGTCGTTGCTTGCAGCCTTGTTAAGAGTGAATACATTTTTATAAAAAGTTTTTTTTTTCCTATAAAACAAGTTAAGAATTTCTTATAGGCTGCTTGTTACCACATTTTACGTTGCATTTAAAAATAAAGCTCAATATCTTATTAGTATGCATTTTATGATATTAAGCATACACTTAAGGTTTAATCTAAATTTTTTAACAATTTTTACTTTTTAATTACTTTTTTTTTTTAACTTGCTTTTTGTCAATTCACAGCAGCATAATAACATAATGAAATCCATGAAACTATGACATTAAATAGTTGTTTGTTTTATGGCAAGATATCAAACACTTTACATGCACTTAAAAAAATTGAAAAAAAATTAAAAAAATGAAATTTTTTATCTTTAGATAATCTTTAACAAAAGGTTTGTTAAAAGTAATACTTTAAATATATTTCAAATTTAAATGTTTTTCAGAATTTTTTTTTATTTGCATTCACTCCCAACAACAACAACAACAACAACAACAAAGCTGCAAGCAACTACTATTAAGTTGGGAGTTACTAGGAAAAAAAAAAGAATAGAGTTATAGAGCAAGGAAACTGTTGACAGAAGACTTGAAAAAGTTGAAGGTTGTATTTGATGAGTCAGGAAACCATGAAGATGGGAGAGAGTTCCCAAGGATTGGGAACTCTCCCATCTTCATGTGGGAAAAAAAACTAGACGAATAAATGTTTTTAGAGCATGCAGGGACAGATACAATAACTTTTATCAATTATAATTGATAAAAGCAAAAACTACAAGCTTATGTAAAAATTTTGTCAGCCAGAAATACAGAAAAATATAGTAGCTTTAACTCAAAAAAAAATTTTTGTTAAAAATAATTTCAATTTTAAATCAATAAAAATCACAAAATTTATTTAGATTCATTAGATTATCAGATATTTTATGTCAAGTATATTATAAATATTTTACATCTAGTATGTAATTAAAAATATTATCAAGTATATTATAATGAGTATTATATATTTATATAATATAATAATAGTAAGTAGCAATAATGATCATTAACTAAAATTTGTTTTGTTTGATTTAGATTTGTCAAGGGTGTCGGCTGATCTAAAAATGTTTTATCTTAATCATTATGGGAAAATTGGTGAACTTCAACCGCCATTAAAAAAACCTGCAAGTGTTGATTTAGACCATAAATTTATTGATCTGCATATTGTTGATGCAGAGAATATTCAAATTGATAAATTGAGTTGTGAACGAGAAAAATTTCTTAAAAAGCAAATGAGTTATGCACCATTTTCCTATAGTGAAATATTTATGAAAAATAAATCTGTAATTTTAATATCTGGAATAGCTGGTATTGGGAAAACATGGTTGCTTAGAAAATTTTTGCTTGATTGGTCAAATGGTTCAATTTGGAAAGATGTAAAACTTGTTTTTTATTTGGAATGCAGGAAGCTTAATCAATATCAATATCAAAATATTTCTAATATTAATGAATTACTAAATGTTGATTACAAAGATGTTATAAATGACTTTAATATAAGTAGTCATACTGCACTGTTTATAATTGATGGATTAGATGAATTTATATTTTTAAATGAATTAATAAATCCAAGTTTAAGTTGTAACTATCCAATTGTTAATGCTTTAGCAGAAATTCAAAAAAAAAAACATGTAATTGCTGGTCGAGTTTATGCAATTGATGAATACCAAAATATATACACAGAGCGTAGGGATAAGTTAATCATTCAAATAATGGGGTTTAATGAAAATGGAATAAATAATTATGTAGAAAATAATGTTATGGAAGAAAAAAAAGAACTTGTAAAAGCAACTTTAAAAGCATCTTTAATTGCAAAAGCCATGGCTTCTATTCCATTTTATTTATCTTCCATGTGTCAAATTATTAATAATTCAAACGAAGTAATTACAGTTTCGTTCTCAACAATGACAGATTTGTATGCAAATATTTTTTTATACTTTTTGCGATCACACATATTCAAAAACGATCACATAAACAAAAAAAAATCAATATATCAGATAATGGAAGACGAAACCAATAAAAGATATATTTTAAATATTTGTAAAATTGCATATGAATTATTAGCTGAAAATAAAATAATTTTTTCCACAAAAGAAATTCTAAATTTTATTAGTGACTTTAATAAAAATGAAAGTAAATTTTTTGGATTTATAGAAAGGATTGAAACAGATGAGGATTGTTATTATCAGTTCGCACATTTGACACTAATGGAGTTTTGTGCATCTGTATATGCATACAATTGTTTAAGTAGTGAAGAGATAGCCAATAAAAAGTTGATAGCCATAAAATAAAAAGTTGATAAAATAAAATAAAAAGTTGATAGATAAAATAAAAAGTTGATAGATAATATAAAATAAAAATAAAATAAAAATAAAATAAAATAAAAAGTTGATAGATAATAAAATAAAAAGCCATAAAATAAAAAGTTGATAGATAGCCAATAAAAAGTTGAAGAGTTGTTTATCAATGATTTGTGGATTAACCTATAAAAACCAACGTAGTTTATTAAAGTTTCTTGTTAACCTGAATCCTCTAAAAAAATCTTGTAATGAATTTTTACTTTTGTTTCCTATTTTGGGTAAGTTTCAAAACTTTGTTGCATTTTTTATGTCATTTTAGATAATCATACAGGTGTTCAATAAGATAAAAACTTTAGATGTTTTTACTTCAACTATTATTAAACTTAACTGTAGATGTATTTACTTATTTAAATAAGGTGTTTCTGTTATTACTAGATTTTTTATGGTAAATTCTAGGTATTTTTGTTAATTTTAGATTTTTTCTTTTTTTTATAAGTTTTATAAATTTAAAAAAAAATAATTGTTTTATATTTTTGTTTTCTGAATGATTTACTACATTTTTTTATAGTTAGTTAAGTAAGTTACACAAAGTCACAGCCTTGTGAAACTCATCATCTGCTGAGTATATGTCTCTATACCAACTCATATGTCAGCCACTTTTGTGTGGCATTTATGGTAAATGATGAGCTGTAGTAACTACAACAACTGAAAATTTTCTAGTAGTTGTTTAAATTTATCAACTGATAGAATTTATCAGCCTTGTGGAAGTGAATATGTTTTAAAAAAAAAATTATCAACTGATGTTGCCTCAATAACATTATCTGGCAAAGCATTCCAGCCTTTGAACAAACAGTTGTTGAAAAATTTATGACTTAGCAGCTCCTGACATTCTTAGGATGAAATCTGAATCAATGTTGAGTTCTGGGTGCTATGCTGCAAGGTTTTATGTATTAACAGTTAGGTTTAAATTGTTGAGAAACTTATTTTGTTGAATAAGATCGTCTCTTTTCTGCCTGTCTTCAAGAGTAGTTACTTTTATCATTTTGCATCGAGTTTTGTTGTCTAATTTTTTAAAGCCTGAGGAGCTTTTGTGGCATTGTGTTGTACTTTTCCAATTTTTTTTCTCACTATCAAGGTAAGGATTCCAAGCTTGTATTGTAAACTTCAGGTAAGTTCTAATATATGCAGCATAAATTTTTTTCCAAATGTCAATGTCACTTGATACAAACATGTGTTTTCCGAGAAAAATTCCGAGCATGTTATTTGCTTTGTTTGCAGCTATATTGCACTGTTAAGCATATTTAAGATGCTCAGAGATTAGAATTCCAAGATCTTTTTCAGAATTTGTATTTCTAAAACTCCTTTTTTGGTTGTGCTGTCATTTTTGATTTCGTCCATAAAGTAATTCAATTTTGTTGTTCCGGAGTTAACATGCATGACTTTTTTTTTTACATTTTTTCTTTTTTTTTTACATTTTTAACTCCATTAGCCAGGTTTGCATCCATTTGCAATCTCGTCTAGATCAGATTTTAATCTTGCTTGCTTTTCACCGTTTTTGTCAACTCTCAAGAGCTTTGTGTCATCTGCGTGCATTTTGCAAATGGCTGATTTGACATGAATTGTCAGGTCATTAGTAAATATGACTTTTTCTGAAATTTTAAAATCGGTATTATAAGAATTAAAATATATTAGGAAGTTGCGTCCTGAGATATATATTATCAGTTATATCATATATATATATATATATATATATATATATATATATATATATATATATATATATATATATATATATATATATATATACATATACATATACATATATATTTCTATATATACATATTATATAAAATAAATAAAGAAGTATGTTTATCCATAGTTTTTAAAGAAATTTCTTTCTTTTGTTTATATATTTTTTGTTATTATTCTTGAAATTTTTATATACTATTGGTCCTTTTGAGATCCAACATGATATTGAAGAACTTTTTTTTGATAATATTACAGACCTGTTTTACAATATAAGTGTCTAAAGAAACCCCTAAATTTTTAAAATCCAGTGTTATTCTATGCCATATATATATATATATATATATATATATATATATATATATATATATATATATATATATATATATATATATATATATATATATATATTTCATATTTTATCGATTTTTGAAATTGAACTTGCACCTTGATTTATAAATTGACCATTTATATAAAAATGTGATTAATCAAAAAATAATAGTTATAAAAATATCAAATCAATATCAAAAATCAAAAAATAATAATTATGATTAATCAAAAAATAATAATAATAATTTAAAAAATGTCCCCGCTGGTTCAATTTTGGTCCAAATTTGTTAGGTGTTTCAAACACCTGGTGGGAACCTTAATATTTATTCTGTAATTTTTTTAATTTTTATAAATGCTATATATTGGATTGAATCTTAATCCATGAAAAGGAACATGTTGTAAAAATTAAGAAGTTAGTTTTCAGGATCTTCAGAAATCGGTGAAAAAGTAAAAGTTTTTTGTGAAAAAGATTTATGCTCAAAAAAAGTGTTTATTACTCAGTGATGTATGAAAAGCATTTTCCAAATAAACTATTTACAAACGCTGAAGAAACTAATACCCCTCCCCCCCCTTTCACACCCGCACAATATTCAAATTTTAAGGTCATTATTTTCGAAATTTTTGAAATTATTAGCCGTAAATTAACATTTTCATAAAAATAAAATATTTTGGGGCGGGGTCTAGTCCCCCTGGCCCATTAGTTTTGTTGCATCAAGATCAGGATGTATATGGAAGATCTTCAACTTTAAATGATTCTCATTGTATTGTAGAATTTTTTTAGTAAAAAATAATTTTAAAAAATGAATAAGACATTTAAGTATTACAAAGTATTAAAAAATTATATTTACATTTCAATATTTTCTCATCAAACAAGTGGTATCATTTGATCGATGAAAGCCAATAACCTTAGAATAAAATTTTATATCATATTTTATGTGCAGTGAATTTGCTTATTGAAAAGTATTACTTTTTCTCCTTTTTAGTTTGCTTACCTTTGGTTTCATCGGAAACACAACTTTGTAAAATTGTGGTCACAAAGTCTAAAATTTCTTAGGACTTAACTTTTTGTACATTTACTTTATCATTTTTGTAGATTCTTAATAAGATTACATACTTGGCCTACTGTGTACCGCCTATGGTATTGGTTTACTTAGAAAGGAGTGCCTTCTTCTTGGTCAATCTTTTCAAATAAATTTAAATCAGTCATGGCTAAGGGTAGCCTAGATAATAAATGGTTTTTATTTTGGCCTCAATTATCTAAAAATAAGTGAAGTTTTTGTTTTAAAATATTTTTATTACATGTTTAACTATATATTTGTTTTAAAGATATGTTAACTTAAGACTTGCTTTTTTACAGACTTTTCAAAAAGTGAACACAGGTTTAAATATATTTTTTATATTGTTTTAAATAATTTTATTCACATAAAGCTGAACAATTACTTCAAAAATATTGAGTAAAAGCAATTGCTTTTTTTATTTAACCTGACCTCAAAAATAAATGAGAATAAAACTATTTTAACGCAAAGTTAAGGCAAAATAAATTCCGGGCATTTATAAAGTTAAATTAGTATAAATATGGATTGGATGAATGCTGAAATATGATATACGTTAGCTATAAAGTAAATCGATATATTTGTTTACCTTTTTTTTTTTTTTTAACTGGATGGTTTTTTTTTAACTGGTTTCTGCTGGATTATTAAATAAAGAAAGATAGCTTAAGTAATAAGCCTTATTATACAATATAGGAGTCGTATACATGGATAAGCCCTTTCCGGAATTGCTGAAGTCCCGGATAACCAAAACAATTTCTATGCCTACTAGTTTAGGTGTAATTTTAGTGATATATTTTTAAGCTTTTCACTCATAGTAAAATTTAAAGTTGGAAAAAGAAAATTAGAAACGACTCAGCTAAAAGCAAAATTAAGAGGAAAATATTTTCCAAATAATTTACCTAAACAATTTTATGGAATTTGAAAATATCTATACATATAATTCAAGTCATATTTGTACATGTAATTGTTTTAGATTTGCGAATTCAATGCTTGAACATTGCAAATGAAATGGCTAATTTTATCTTTAATGAAGCTAAGAGTTCTGTTTAACTAAGAAGCCAAGAAAAATAAAAGTGAGCAGAACTAAAAAAATGTATAAATAAAGGCCAGGTCAGGGCCAGGTCGATGGGTTTATTGCAAAAAACAAAACCCAAATAAGATAAACAAAAGAAGTTTAAAACTTGTCAACATCTTCTCCCCAGTTAACGCCTCCTAAGGTAGATCACTATGAGAGTTGCATACACAGAAGACATGAGCTATACCCGCCTTAAACAACTTCATTATAAGCCAAAAGATTGTCTTAAGCCAAATAAAAATAGATACTACACTTAAACATGGCCATTAAGCCAAGAAACAAGTTAACCATTTCAATCTGATTGAAAGAGGTCATATGTTGTACCACAAAACTGTATTCTTGGTACCTAATTCTAAATTCTGTAAATCAAGTTTTATTGCCAACCGTGCTTAAATCTAAGACAATAATATACAATACAATAATATACAATAATATGTGATACAATGTTGTGTTTTGTTTTAAACATAATACAATAATATTATGTTTTGTTTGCATCATATACTGTAACCGAATTTAAATAGAATAGAATAAAACAATCGAATTTTTTATTGATCGAAGATATTTAGAATCGAATTTGAACTTTCTTTGTTAGGATAGTACCATTTACAGTCAAATTTTTAGGATAGAATTTTTTAAATTAAGTTATTAAAACTTGTTTCAGTTGAATAATATAGAACCACCATCGAGAACAGAATCTTCTAGAATCAAATTAGTTAATTAAATTTAAATTTTAATGTATGCAATAGTATATTAAATAGTACATTAAATAAATACATTTATAAAATCTGCTGTTGGTCCTCTGCATACTGAACAGTAATTAATAGCACTACTTGAATGGCTTCAGCATATCACTGGCATTTGTAAAGATAGTGACAAGGGAAAAAAACAACTTGAAGATTGTCGACGAGGCAAACTTTGCAGACATTTTTGATTTGTCTGTCCACCACACCAGCTTGTCCATTTGATTGAGATTCTTCATCAACAATTTGTTCCTAAAAAAAAGTATAAATATAAAGCATTTAACTAGTAGAATTCCTTGTCACTGTACCAACAAAGGGAGATTGCCACCTGTCAACAACAACAACAAGCCCCTAACATGAATACAATGCAGTAAATACATTTTATTGTTAAAAATTGTAATTAATTATCTAACCTGTTCAATGAATACTTGAACTTCCTGATCACTTGGCATTTTCATATTCT